TCTTCGGTGAAGCCGCGATCAATGGCGGCGCTGGACAACTGAATCCTGGTGGGTTCGTCAGCATGAGCGCCGATAAGCAAACGAACCAGAGCGTCCCCACGATTAGCAGTGTAACCAAGCTCCTGTGCGTGCGGAGGTCGACGTCGGGGCTCTCGTTCTGCATGATTTTGGCGAGGCGTTCGACTTGTACTTCAGTGCGGACGGCTTTCCGGCTTGTCTGCTGGCACATAAAGAGGGACATGTACGCTATTGCCCCGAGCGATCGTGAAGCGGCGCCATTCTTTTCCAGTGCGTAGAGCACTGTGGAAACGCTGGGCACGAGGTTCTGCCGCGACGGTACCGCCGCTGACATGGAACGAGTGACGCTTGGCGGGGCCGGCGGTGTTGAAGATGGCCATGTCTTTGGTGATTTCGGCCTTGGCAAGCCATGCTGCGAGGGCGCGCTGGAGCTCGGGCTGGTTGAACTCCTGTGGACTGCTGCGCTAGAAAGTTGCGGGGTCGGGATCTCTGTCCCGCGAGCCAAGGCCCTCGAAGTTGAGCGCAGGAGCCCGTGCTTCAGCGGCTGTGACGATGGCTTCGAGCTTGGCAACGGCGGACTTGAGCTCGCCATTCTGCTTCTCGAGGTCGTTGGTGCGCTGTGTGACGCTGTGGATGCTGCGTCCGGTGGCTTCGTGACATTGACTGAGCTCGGACGTGATCTTCGTGATGGAGGCGAGAAAGTATTGTGCTGCTTGTGCTGTGGCCGCACGTGTTGTGGCTGCGAACTTGGCGCTGGCGTCGGCGATTTGGGCGGCCATGGTCTCCCCCACCTGCTTGCGAACGTGAGCGGGTATGTCATGCACTGCGAGCTTCGCAGCGCCATCATGCCATGTATCTTGCTGACGTTTGCCACAGTCGATGTCCTGTCCGTTGGGAACGAGAGCGAGGGGTCCTGCTGCTTGTGGATGAGCGTGCGTTCCCATGGAGATACACAGTGGCCCGCGCCAGCCACACAGAATCGCGCGTGAAGGCTGCTGCAAGCCAATGCAGAGCCGAATATGAAGTTCAACCAGCAGGGCAGCTGGAAGGCGTGGCGTGGGAAATGCGTCCTTATCTGTCCCTGGACCAAGGGTCTCCGTGCTCTGCCACGGGGCGAAATTATCTGGAGCCAAAATGGCTACGGAGGAGGAGGAGGAGGAGGGGGGAAGGAGGTGGAGGTGGAGGAGGAGGAGAAGGAGGAGGAGGAGGAGGAGGAGGAGGAGGAGGAGGAGGGGGACGGGGAGGGGGAGAGGGAGGGACAGGGTCGCCCAGGGGGATGCGTATCTGCCCCTCCCCCCGGCGGGGAGGGTAGTAGGGAAGGGCTTCGCCACGATTGCGATACCCTTCTGTTTCGTGTTCGATGTTCTTTTATTTCGGGCGACGACGATGACGACGACGACGACGATGACGGTGATCCACGCAAGACGACGACACCAGGATGCGTCTTCCACACGCGGACAGGGTCGGCGGATTTTCCTTTGGTTTTGGAAATATGTTGTCATGTGTTTTTTTTCTCGGGATTCCGACAGCTCAAGACGGCGCAAGAAGCCCCCAAGATCGCCCAAGCGGCCTCCAAGATGTCCCCATGACGGCCCAAGAGGCTCCCAAGACGGCCCCAAGAGGGCCCCAAAACGGCCCAAGGGGCCTCCAAGACACACAAGATGGCCTCTCAGAACCCCTGATATGCCCCAAGAGGGCCCCAAGACGACCCAGACAGGCCCCAAAGACGGCTTCCGACGGCGTCAGACAAGCCAGGAACGCCCCAAGACGGCCAAAGAGGCCCCCAAGAAGCCCCCAAAGGTCCCCAACAACTTTCCAAGAGGCCCCCAGGAAGTTCCCAGGAGGCCCCAAGAGGCGCCCAAGAGGTCTCCTCCTCCTCCTCCTCATCATCATCATCATTTGTTTTCCCCATCCTCCCCCTCCTCCTCTTCTTGCTCCCCCGTGCGTTCCCCGAAGTCTTTCCAAACCGACTTGGGGAACAACTGGCCCGATAGCTTGGCCAAGCTCTGGCCCAGCTGTCGGCCACAGAGGCGCTTCCAAAGGGGCAGGGGGCGGAGGTGATTCGCCGTAGGCGTCTTCGATACATACATACATACATATATGTATATATATACACACTAGATGTATGCGTATACCTATGCACATATGAATAGATACACAAATACATATGTATACGGCGACGGTCATAACATCAACTATATATGTATGTATATATACATATATATGTGTGTATATATATATATGTGTATGCATGTCTGATCGGACGTGGCCAAGGTCTGCCCGTGTGCTTCGTGCCGCGGCCTCCCACCCCTCCAGAGCGGCGGGACCAGAAGTGCTCCTCCTCCTCCTCCTCCTCCTCCTTTTCCTCCTCCTCTTCCACTTCCTCCCCTGGGACATCGCCGAGCCCAACGTCTTCCCAGATCCCACGGGGCGGGCGTGCGGACTGCGCTGTCCAACTGTGGCGCGCTGCGCGAGGCCTCGTGGATCTGCACCACAGCTGGCCCAGGGGAGCAGCCCCACATCCCTCGGGCTGGACCAGGACAAGCATAACACTCGTTCTAGAACCAGAACGCTCTCAGAGCGCCCTGACGAGGCCGCCCGATGGCGTCCTCCAGAGCCGCCAGCTTTCAGAGATCCTCGACTTGTCCCTGTCTGGCTTTGCCCTCGTCCTGGCCCCGTCTCAGTCTTCGGTCGGGCGTGTCCACCTACAGGCGGATTTTGAATAAAAATAAGGACAGTCAAAACATATGCAAGAACAGTCCAAGAAGACAGAAAAATCATCACCAAACGATTTTCCAACTACTTTTGAATGTTCATCCTGTAGAGGGACATGCCCGACTGAAGTCTTGTCCCTGTCCGACTTTGCCCTCGTCTTGGCCCCGTCTTAGTCCATCCCTTCCGCTGGCATGGGGCGAAAAGGGCCCTCGAGGAGACGGGTCTTGGGCCGAAGGCTAGTACCTCTTCCGTGGGACCCTACGTGGGCGAGATCGGGAACCGTGAACCCCCAAAAACGTGTCTTCATTTCTTGGGGCCGCATCTTTTACCTGTGACACCCATACCCCCTCGCGACAGAGATTTTTTGCTATTTCGGCCTCTGGGGTCCTTCCTGGGCGTCGGGACCGTCAAAAAACAATTCAGGATGAAAAGCCGGTCCCGGGGAAGGGGTCCAAACCTCTTGGGGCCGCATATTTTACTTCCGCCACCATTCGCCGAGTTTCCGCCGGCGTCCGCCGGCTTCTGCCAGCGGAGGCGACCTCGTTCTACTTCCGCCGACCTTCCGCCGCGGAAGAGATGACAACTCCTTCGACCCTCGAAGGCGAGGCCATTTTTGGAACGCCCTGCGTGGGCCCCTGCGCTGTCCGAGTTGGCCCTGGTTTGGACTGGATTCGGAACGCACTTGGGACCAGATCTGGACCGGATTTGGACTTGATCCGTCGCCACTTCACAGGGGAGACGATGAGAACGAGGAGGGGGGAGGAACAGAAGGGGCGGGGAGGAGCGGCGGGAACGAGCAGGAGGGGCGAGGAGGGAGGCGAGGAGGGGGAGGAGAGGGAGGAGCAGGAGGGGCGAGGGGGAGGAAGCGAAGGGTCAGGGAGGAGCAGCACGAGGAGGGGCCACATGCGGTTCAACTGCGGTCCAAGGCCGCCGCCCGAGGCCCCCACGAACAGACGTCGGAGCCGGGCGACCTGCCCCAGCCCCGTCTCGTTAGCATGAAGGGGCCCAAGGACACAAATAAATACACACAAATAAAATTATCCCCCAGATTTTCCCATATTTTCTGGGTTTCTGTCTTCCCCCCCAGTTCCCATATCTTCCCATTTTTCTGGGGAATCGAGGATGAATTGTGCCTGTGTGTTTCTTTTCCTCCTGATAGTAGGAAGTGAACGGGTCCTCGAGGAAAGGCGTCCTGGACCCAAGGGTCTTCCCCCAGGACCAGCTTTTCGTCCTGAGCGTCCGGTGGCAACTCACGGGAGCCTCCCGTACCATCTTGTCGGCTCCTGCGAATCGACGTAATCGACGCTAGATCGACGCTCATCGACGCTACATCGAGGCTAATCGACGCTAACAGACGCTAATTCGGCACTATCTCATCCACTCCAAGACGCTAATCTACGCCAAAGGCATGATTAAGACGGTACTGTATACGGGGGAGACCAAAAGGTACCGATACCGCTACTCCCCAGACCTCTCTTAGGGTGCGTTCTAACCAGGACTTCGAGGCGAATCCAGCGGTGGCGACGAGGGCCTCCCAGGAGGCCCAAGCAGGGGAAAGGGCCGAACGGTAGAGGTATGGGTACCTTGTCCTCCTCTGATCTACAAGCTCTCACGATTGGCCCCCGAGCCCAAAAAGGGCCTTCCCCCTGGAACAGCTCTTCTCGGGAGCGGCAAAGAGGGGGGTGTCCAAGAGGGGGGGTGCAAATCATGGCCGGCGGCATGTGCGCGGCCCAGCGGGGGGACCAGGGACGTAATGAAATAAGAGGAGGCGCCATGAAATCTGAGGAAAAGTCATGGCCCGCGCCATGATATCCCCCCCCCCCCTACTCATCACCCCCCTCTTTGCCGCCCCCGATCTTCGTCCTGCGTAGCTTTTTTGGCAACCCCGGGGCTGGGGGCTGGCACCAGGAAGCCCCCCAAAACGGGCAACAAGCTGAAGCCCGTCTCCCTCGGGACCCCTCTCTCTTTCACGGCGATCCCTCCTTCCGACCCCCCTCTTTCACGGCGATCCCTCCTTCCGACCCCTCGCAATTTCACGGCGACCCCTCCTTCCGACCCCTCTCTTCCATGGCGATCCCTCCTTCCGACCCCTCGCAATTTCACGGCGATCCCTCCTTCCGACCCCTCTCTTTCACGGCGACCCCTCCTTCCGACCCCTCGCAATTTCACGGCGACCCCTCCTTCCGACCCCTCTCTTCCATGGCGATCCCTCCTTGCGACCCCTCAGGACCCCTTTCTTTCATGGCGATCCCTCCGTCCGACCCCGCTGTCCAGAAGAGCGACCGGAAAGACCCGATGATGGAGCTCACGATCGTCCGCAGCTCGCTGATGAGGTGCAGGACGCGCACCAGGCGGAAGATGCGCACGATCCTGAGGACCCGCAGGATGCGCAAGATGCGCAAGTTCCCAGCATCGTTGTTATCATTGGCGCCGGACTGCATGTACTCGAACACCTCCTGAACGAGCTGTGCGCTGACGACCAGCAGGTCGAAGTAGTTCCAGAGTACGCCTGTCTCCTTCTTCAGGAAAAAGTCCAGCTTGTAGACCCACACGCGCAGGAAGAGCTCCGTGGTGAAGACAATGCAGAAGAAGATCTCGATGACGCGGTACCCGAACGGCGCCTCCTCCGTGACGTGGCGCGCCGCGTAGTCCGCCTCCAGCCCGATGGTGACCGAGTTGGCCAATATGAGGAAGCTGATGACGTTGTCGAACCTGAAGCTCGTCAGAACCGCGTGGGCGGACACGCCCCTCCACGTCTCCCGATGCGTCAGCTTCCACAGCCACTCCCTGAATGGCGTCCTCTGCTCGCCGGCCTTCGCGACCGCCAAGGACACGCGAGCGTTGTAGAGGGACTGCTTCGCCAAGCCGGCCTTGGAAAGGTCGCCCTGCGTCGATCCTCGCTGCAGCCTCGGGTTCTTCTGGATGACGACGTCGGGCCCGAACGTGGCCCGAAAGTTGGAGTCGCGGCTGACGTTGCTGCCGCTCCCCGCGGACATCCTGAGCGCATCCTGGAGAGGAGGGGGAAGTGTAGGAGGGGTGAGGTGGAGGTGAGAGGTGGAGGAGGACGCGGAAGACGAGGAGGACGAGGAGGAGTATTCAGAGGAGCCAGGAGGGTGTCGGGATGATGGAGGAGGCGCGGGGTGGGCAGGGTGGGCAGGGGCGAGAACGGGGAGGTGGGGCGCGGGAGGAGGCGAGGGGAGAGGCGGCCCGGCGCGAAGCAGGTGAGAAAGGAGGGGGATGATAAGGAAGGAGGACGGACGAAGAGAAGGGAGGAGGGAGTAGGAGGAGGAGGAGGAGGAGGAGGAGGAGGAGGAGGAGGAGGAGGAGGAGGAGGAGGAGGAGGAGGAGGAGGGCAGGGAGGGAGGAGGAGGAGGAGGAGGAGGAAGGAGGAGGGGAGGAAGAGAAGCTAGGTGCGCGCGCGTCATATCTGACGTCCTACCCCTCCCTCCCATCCCTTACCATGGCGCTGATTTTCTCTATCCGCGGACTAGTGGGTGGTGGTGCGCGTGCGTGCGTGCGTGCGTGTGTGCGTGGTTGTGGTGGTGGTGGTGGTGGTGGTGGTGGTGCTGGTGGTGGTGGTGTGGTGCTGGTGCTGGTGCTGGTGGTGCTGGTGGTGTGGTGGTGGTTGGTGGTGGTGGTGGTGGTGGTGGTGGTGGTGGTGGGTGTGTGTACGTGTGTGCGTGTGTGCGCGTGTGCTGTGGCATGGCACGGGAAATGACGCCAGCGCTGCAGCGGGAGCACGAGTCGAAACGGGCGGAAGCGCGGAAATGAGGCCAGCGCTGCAGCGGGAGCACGGAAATGAGGCCAGCGCTGCAGCGGGAGCACGATTCGGAACGAGCGGGGCCGAAAATGAGGCCGGCGCCTCGGCGAGAGCAGCATTTTGAACAAAAAACACAAGCGAAAACCCGTTTCCCGGGAATCCTGCGTGTAAAAAAATTAGCCTGGCGAAGGACCCAACCATATGCAGTTGTGAATGCCGCAATTGTGCTGGGTGGTGGCGGACGCATGCGGGCGGTGCCACTGGGACCTTCGGTGGAGCTCCCTATGGGGCCACGAATCGCTGTACTGGGTGGGTGAGACGCGGTCAGCAAGGGCTGTGCTGCGTGGTGGCGGACGCATGCGAGCGGTGCCACTGGGTCCTTCGGTGGAGCTCCCTATGGGGCCACGAAACGTGTACTGGGTGGGTGAAACTCAGGCAGGGAGCAAGGGCTGTGCAGGGTGGTGGCGGACGCATGCGGGCGGTGCCGCTGGGACCTTTTGTGGAGCTCCCTATAGGGCTACGAAGCGCTGTTCTGGGTGGGTGAAGCGCAGGAAAACAAGGGCTGTGCTGGGTGGTGGCGGACGCAAGCGGGCAGTGCCACTGGGACCTTTGGTGGAGCCCCCTATGGGGCCACGAAACGTGCGAGGGGTGTGCCGAAATGGGGGGTGGAACCGCATGCGGGCGCAGCCACTAGGGCCTTCGGTGGAGCTCCCTATGGGGCCACGAAGCGTGTGAAGGGCGTGCCGAAAAAGGGGGTGGAACCGCATGCGAGCGCAGCCACTGGGGCCTTCGGTGGAGCTCTCTATGGGGCCACGAACCGTGTGAGGGGTGTGCCGAAATGGGGGGGGGAACCACATGCGAGCGCAGCCACTGGGGCCTTCGGTGGAGCTCCCCATGGAGCCACGAAACGTGTGCCCGAAATGGGGGGTGGAACCGCATGCGAGCGCAGCCACTGGGGCTTCGGTGGAGCTCCCTATGGGGCCACGAAGCGTGTGAGGGGCGTGCCGAAATGGGGGGTGGAACCGCATGCGAGCGCAGCCACTGGGGCCTTCGGTGGAGCTCCCTATGGGGCCACGAAACGTGTGAGGGGTGTGCCAGAATGGGGTTGGAACCGCATGCGGGCGCAGCCACTGGGGCCTTCGGTGGAGCTCCCTATGGGGCCACGAAACGTGTGAGGGGTGTGCCAGAATGGGGGGTGGAACCGCATGCGGGCGCAGCCACTGGGGCCTTCGGTGGAGCTCCCTATGGGGCCACGAAACGTGTGAGGGGTGTGCCAGAATGGGGGGTGGAACCGCATGCGGGCGCAGCCACTGGGGCCTTCGGTGGAGCTCCCTATGGGGCCACGAAACGTGTGAGGGGTGTGCCAGAATGGGGGGTGGAACCGCATGCGGGCGCAGCCACTGGGGCCTTCGGTGGAGCTCCCTATGGGGCCACGAAACGTGTGAGGGGTGTGCCAGAATGGGGGGTGGAACCGCATGCGGGCGCAGCCACTGGGGCCTTCGGTGGAGCTCCCTATGGGGCCACGAAACGTGTGAGGGGTGTGCCAGAATGGGGGGTGGAACCGCATGCGGGCGCAGCCACTGGGGCCTTCGGTGGAGCTCCCTATGGGGCCACGAAACGTGTGAGGGGTGTGCCAGAATGGGGGGTGGAACCGCATGCGGGCGCAGCCACTGGGGCCTTCGGTGGAGCTCCCTATGGGGCCACGAAACGTGTGAGGGGTGTGCCAGAATGGGGGGTGGAACCGCATGCGGGCGCAGCCACTGGGGCCTTCGGTGGAGCTCCCTATGGGGCCACGAACGTGTGAGGGGTGTGCCAGAATGGGGTGGAAACCGCATGCGGGCGCAGCCACTGGGGCCTTCGGTGGAGTCCCTATGGGGCCACGAAACGTGTGAGGGGTGTGCCAGAATGGGGGGTGCCCGCATGCGGGCGCAGCCACTGGGGCCTTCGGTGGAGCTCCCTATGGGGCCACGAAACGTGTGAGGGGTGTGAGGGGTGTGCCAGAATGGGTGTGGGAGGGGGAGGAGGGGGGAGGAAGGGGAGGAGGAGGAAGGAGGAGGAAGGAACGCGGGGCGACGTCTCTTCAAAACGAGGACCCAACACCACAGGATCGTTGGGAACAATACGCGGGGGGGTGTCGGATATCTTCGGGACGCCATCAGGGGAAGTGGGAGAGTATTTTCATATTGAAATTGTGGAGAGGGGGGAAGGAGGAGGAGGAGGAGGAGGAGGAGGAGGAGGAGGAGGAGGAGGAGGGAGGAGGAGGAGGAGGAGGAGGAGGAGGAGGAGGAAGCCTTGACCTCTCGCACGCGCGGGGGGGCGGGCCGCCCGCGGCGGGCGCGCGCGGCCGCGCCGCGCCATCGGCCGCCCGTGAGCCCGCGGGGCCGAAGCTCCGCGAGGCTCGCGAGCCCGCGGCCGCCTCAGAGTGCGGCTACATGTGCACACGGCGCGCAGGCCACGGAGTCCACGATTCGAGAACAGACCGGAACCACGAGGCACGTCTCGACACGTCAGTGTTCCGAGAACTTGCCCCGCCCCCCCCGCTGCATCGAGGTCGCCATGCGTCCAGTGATCGCTCCAGGCCCTGAGTCTCCTGCCCAGGAGGAGTAGCAGCACGCAGGCCACCGCGACGAGTACAGGGTGGGTGGTGTCGGTACAGTCGGGGCGTTGACCTAAGGAACCCTAAATAAGGAACGAGGCCCCTTTCTTCCATAAGTTAAACTTCGATGTCCTATCACAAGCATAAGGAAAACCTGGGGCAGGCTGTGAAACACTTAAGGAACGCGGAGCCCCTCCCCAACGAAAAGGGTTCCTTCTTCAGGGCCCCGACTGTACATGTGCAGAGGCCTCCTAGATGGAGTCGGAGTGCAGTCGGGGCGTTGACCTAAGGAACCCTAGATAAGGAACGAGGCCCCTTTCTCCCATAGGTTAAACTTCGATTTCCCATCGAAGCCCTAAGCAAAACCAAAGGCGAACTGCAAAACAACTAAGGAACACCGAGCCCCTCCCCAACGAAAAGGGTTCCTTCCTCAGCGCCCCGACTGTAGATGGAGTCGGAGTGGATGAGGCGGGAGGACCGCGACGCATCGGCGATGCATCGGCGATGCATCGGAGACGCACCGGCGACGCATCGTCGACGTCGGCGAGACATCGGCGCCATCGGCGTGGAGGAAATCGGGCCCCACATCGAGCCGCATCGCCGATGCCTCGTCGATGCGGCGCGATCCTCCGACCCCATCTACTCGGACCCCCTCTCGGAGGCCTACAACGTTAGGAGGCAACTCCTGGGAGGCCTTTGCTGGCACGGTGAAGCGCGCTTGAGAGCCCGATCCGAGGGCCACGCCGCCAGATCAGGCCAGATTCGATGGTTCAGCCCGGGGATCAAGCCAGACTCAGCGGGATTAGGCGGGACTACCCTCGGGGAGACGTAAGACTCGGGCACGGTCGACTCGGGTTCGCCTGACGAGGCCATCATGAAAATGACGAGACCCAATCCGAAATTTGACGCGAGCTCCCGCTGCAAACGTCACACGAAAACCGGACCGTCAAAATCCTGGACGCGCTCGTCAGAAAAGCGGCGGCAAACCCGAATTCCGGCTCACTCGAGTCTTACGCTTCCCCGCTAAACTGGACTAGCCCAGATTAGGCCGGTTATTGACCTCGAAAATGCCCGCGCCGGCACAGGAACCAACCTCCCAGCAGCTGCAGCCCAGTGCGAGGCCCTCCAGGCGGCCGAGAGGAGGAGGCGCTCGCCTGCCCAGCACAGGGACGAGGCGCGAATGGCGCCGTGCGCAGAGGCAGGGGTGCTGCTGCGTCGCGACAACAGAGACACGGCAATTGTTGAGCCTGCATCACTCTTGGCGGGGCGCGCAAGGGGGTTGGGATGCGGGGGAAGGCTCCGTAGAAGGAGGACGCTTCTCAGAAGGCGCGGGCCTCACATCTACAGACAGGGCCCGCGCCTTCTGAGAAGCCGGGGGGCTTCTAAGGAGCCTTCCATCCTCCCCCATACCCCCTTCTGCGCGTGGCCGACACTCGCAGGGGATGCCGTCAGGTTCTAGGGCTCCCAGCTGGCAGTGTGTGACGTGCCAGGCGGTGAACAAGGCGTCAGGCTGGGCATGCAGGGGCCCAGGTTGCACGCAGACGTGCAGAAAGCAGCAGCAGTCTTCAGCTTCAAACGGGCAGCAGCAGATGCAGGCGCCAAACATCGGCGAGGTCAGGCGCTACATTGAGTCGCACCTCGTGTCCACCACTGGATACGCCATGGCGCAACGTGCGTTTATCATGCCACCCGAGATGGCGTCAGAAGTCACATCCTATAGGAAAATGGTCGAAGACAACATGCAGACGGTGGCTGAGTTGCTCGCGCAGGCGAAGAGAACAGGCACTCGCCTTCCTGCTCAGGAAAAGACTCTCGGTGCTCTGTGCTGTGGCGCGTCAAGCCGAAGGTCGTCCAGAAGAAAGAAGCGATGCAAGGGGTCAACAAGGCGAAGGCGATCTTGAAGGAGCCTGAGAGGCAGGCCAGGATATTAGAGGCCGACATGTTGATTCAACAATCAACGGAGACGTATCGGCAAACTCTTCAAGATTAATCTCAATTGTGATCAGATGCGACGGACTCGACGAACGGCTTCGACAAACGGAAGATGCTGCTGTCCCTTGCCGCGTCAATGGGTACCATGGTCGGCAGTGGAGTGGACGCTGGAGATAAGCAGCAATTGCCACCGCAGCCGCCTGCTCCATCTTCACCTCCATCACCTCGATCCTTTTCGTGGAGGCTCACTACACCTTTTGCGGACGGCGAGCACATCAAACCTCTGGGCGACCAAGCTGTGCCCCTAATTACATGCGATCATGAGCTTGGTGCTGTCATCAGAGATCGGCATAGTGGTATCATGGCAGGACATGAAAGTGTAGCGGCTGTGGCAGCGGGCTGCATGTCCTTCAGGCCTCAGTCCGAGGCCCCCCCCCACCCCCAAATTGCACCGCCAGCCATTTTCTACACCCGTTAATCCACCGAGGGGACCACCTTGATCGCTGGGAGCCCAGCAACACTGACTGCTCAAGTTCTCGACGCACTCCACTCCTTACGCTCAGTGTCGCTCTCCCACGCCCCCGGCGAGGGGCACCATCGGAACGAGATGTCGGAAGTAATTGTCTGCCAGTGTAGGGGAGGTCGTTTGTGGCAGGGGCTGGGCGCCTCTGGCGCAGTGCGGCTTCGCGTCTATGGCTGGTCCTAGGAGCGTGTATTCGTGATGGCGGTGGCGGTGGTGGAGTAGAGTCATGGAGGAGACGCATGCAGTCTTGGCCAGAGTCGCCTGGCGATCACAGGCAGCGCAAAGCTCCTCGCCATGCTTGGCGCTGCTCCTGGAGTTCTCGACCCGGTTGAGTGCCAGACAGGTGGGGTAGAGCCGACAGCCGACCCGTCTCATAAGGATGCGCGGTAAGGCTGCAAGGGCCTTGAAGGCCATGTCCACACTTTGCGCGCGGGGCGCGGCCAGCGAAAGTCGCTAAGGATGGGCCGAAGGGGCAAGGATGCAAGGGCACGTACCCATGGGAAGGATGCCCATCCTTGCTATGCGGGTTGACTGTAGTCGGAGGGTGCCGTCCCTGGTTTTCGAGCGGGTCTTGGGCACGAGGGTCTCACGGCTGAGCCCCCCAGATTGCTCCTGGCCCTGGGGGGCTCGGCGGCAGGCGCGGACGCCGCAGTCTCCCCCTTGAGCTCTGCCATCTCCATCT